GGGGGGGGGGAGCAAAAAAAATTAGTAATGTTTTAATATAGTTTTAATTTACTGTAGCGTACTGACATGACATCAGCTTAGTTACTTTCTCTTTATTTTCTCTTTACTTTTAATACATTTTTTGTCTAAAAAAATGTTTATCCAATCAATCCGGGGGGGGGGGGGCAAGTGCCCCACCTCGCCCCTACCTGCGGGCGCCCATGACTTCAAATCTGCTTGGAGGTGGTTGTGGTCATCGTAGCCGTTTCTCTGTCTGTAGACAAGACAGTCATCTGCAAACAGCCTCACTTGAGATTTTACAGTATCAGGGATGTCGTTTATGAGACAGAGAAATAGAAGGGGGCCAACCACTGTGCCTTGAGGGACTCCTGAGTCTACGGTGGCTTTCCTGATCGGACGCCGTCTACCACTACTTGCATGGAACGTTGTGTTAGGAATGCTGAGAGCCAGGAATGAGGGTTGCCGGTAATGCCGTAGTGGTGGAGCATATGTAGAAGAAGGCTGAGTGGAACAGTTTTAAATTTTCCTCTTCCTGGTCTTCAAAGCCGCAAACCTGTCAGTCGTTTGATCAAATTTAATAATCTTTACCGTATCACTTTCAATAGATAGTAGAGCCAGATCAGAAAGCCTTGACTGTCCAATAGTGGATCGTAAATAGCTCTTAATAAGCATTAGTTTTGAAAAGCTCCGCTCACATGAAGCCACAGACACACAGATCTTAAGAAACAATATAAGGCTTGGCGAGAGTATTGGAAGAGTTTCTAGGCAGTCCCATTCAGCTATGAATTTCAAAACATCAAATACTGACCAGACCATGATTTTGTGAAATTCAATATCAGTACCTTTAGGTTTATTCTTATCTTTGTTATTTCTTTTAAAAGTTCACCTTCTGAAAACTCATCATACAAAGAGGTTAATTTTGTAATGGACACCAATAACTCCTCTTCACTTGCTAATAGTAGACTCTTGTGTTGAGCAATGACCTAACAAATAACCTAAAATGGTCACACCATATAAACAAATTTTTTTAAAAAAAGCTAACTCCACACTTGGTTTCATTCGAAGAAATCTGCGCCACTGCCCAACTTCCTGCAAACGGAATGCCTATCTCGCACTTGTTCGTCCGCTACTAGAACTAGAATATGGTGCGATCATCTGGGACCCACACCTTAAGCAAGACGTGGACAAGATGGAGCGAATCCAACGTAACGCGGTACGCTTCATCGCACTTGACTACAAATCCACCACTTCTGGCTTCGTCACTGGCCTCTTAAAAAGATTGGACATCCCCTCCCTTAATTAAAGACAGATGAGAGGGACTCCGCCTGATATTCTTATATAAAGTGGTCATGGGTCTGGTGCCGGCCATCCCAGCAGACGAGAGGGACTCCGCCTGATATTCTTATATAAAGTGATCATGGGGCTGGTGCCGGCCATCCCAGCAGACGAGAGGGACTCCGCCTGATATTATTATATAAAGTGATCATGGGACTGGTGCCGGCCATCCCTGCAGGCACGTACCTCACCCCACAAAAGCCGGGTAGACTGATCAGAGCAAAACGCTCACTGAACACTGACTTCACCACTGACAACCCCATAAACAATTACACCCGAAACAACAGCAAATGCTTCATCGTGCCTCGGTATAACACAGTGCAGTATAAACAATCATTCTTCCCACGCACAATAATTGCTTGTGTAGTAGTGCGTGGTGGGTGATTGGGTGTACCAAGGCTGCCACTGACAGTTCCTAATAAACAAATGAAGAAATGCAGGTCTCGAGGACTACAGCTTTATTAATGCTCTACAGGGAAGAGTCACTGTGACCGACAGGTCCAAAGGAAAAGTCCTAAGAAAATATAAAGACTAAGGCAAAAGTCCACTATGAAGAAGAAGGACAATATCTGAAAATAAACAAATAGTACAGGTGAACAATGTTCTGACTAACATAGCTTATCAATAAACATGTTACATAACCACGTTATTACACGTGGCGACAACATATACTTAACTGGAAAGCATGATAAATGATACGTACGTAGTATTGTTTGATACAAATGGCAAAGATAATTATCTTGTCGTCCTACGAATGTTAAACTATAAAATAAACTACGTGCAGTGTTTACTTTGAAACACGTGCACAGTGTTAATGCTACACACAGAACCAGAGTGAGATCTGAGGGCTAACATAAACTTTAAAGATCTTGAAGTTATTATAGTATGCCATCCAGGTATGGTGTCTATGTAAGAAGCACACATAGCAGGACAGTAAATACAATGGTATAAAGTATGACCACCGTTGGCTTGATACTTGTATTTGTCCATCGCTGTGTCTTGTTAAGACAACAGCAGATTGCAGAATGAATCATTTTATGAAATATGATCCTAACACATGCACTATTTCCTATGTGAGAATTTAGCACACGGCAGGAAAGTTAGCCTATTACACATATTTGACGGACACTCGCTGGTTGTATACTGTTGTATCAAAAGCGCATTGCAGTATGTGTACCCAGAACGATATGCAGTTGTTTGTTACGCTCACAAACCCTGGTCACTGGTATCTAATTTATTAATCCTATTAAAGAATTTATTTAACGGTTGTATGTTAACCTTTAAAATAGCCTGAGCATAAGTCTGCACGCTGTAGGTTATTCTACACTATATCCTGGTTATAAGTCTGAACAGAACTCTTCCAATGCTAACACTCAACAAGTTCCTACTAACCACAAAGAAATAAAATGGCGTATTTGCCTCTACTTACAGAGCGTTCCAATGGGCCGCACTGAACAATGGCACACTGCGGGGATGCTGACCAATCTCGAATGACCCCCTGCTTAGTGTGCACCCCTTTATAAAGCCGTGCGGACAAATGAGAGAGCCCCTCCGTCAGACTTAAACCAAGTCGGTCTAAGTTTTGCCTTCTGGCCCATTTCCTGCGGTAAAATGCCTAGCTCTGGGGACCACACCCGAGTAATAATTAAAATCACTGACCAAAGCCCTAACGACTTATATATTATGATTGTGCAGTTTTGTCTCAGCTATCTAAGATACTATTTTATAGTTCTATGAGTTAAATGGTTTTTGAGATATTTTAACTAGAAGGGGTGGGGACCTCTATGGATGGAGGTGGAAAACCCCTTTAATGACTCAATGTTCAAATATTCTCCAACTATGGAGACTTGTAAATATGCTACGGAATAGTGAATAAAATCCCCTTTCTAACTAGATATAATTTATAATTATTTATACCCTAGGGTTCCCGAGAAATAAATTATTGACTTTCTAACTAAAGCGCACATCGTGGTATTTTATTAATTCCTCCCTATGCGTGAGAGAAGCCGGTCGTATAGCGACCGTCCGGGTGAGGTGAAAGGGATACCTGAGGTCAACATTCCGATACAGTGCTAGGCGAGGTCACACCGCGCGACCGCGCGTTGGGCGCCAAACATGGTTTTCGTACTAATAGCGGTTGTCTCAAAATAACGGGTGTAATAGCGGGTTTCCAAATAACGGGGCATACACTGCCACACTTGGAACCACCTGGACAACGCAGCTGTGAACTCGACGTCGGTCGAAAGCTTCAAGGCTGCCCTGGCATCTGCTAGGAGCTGCTAGAACAGCAACATCGCTCCCGAACCGTTGCACAGATGCCAGTATATGGATGCACCAACGAACACTACCAGAATCAGAAAGTAAAGTAAAATTAATGTAAAAATAATAATAAATATAACTTAACGTTGTTACAGTTCTTAAATACATTTACCTCCTGATCTTCAATTAATTTGTTTTTGTTCTTGTCATTGTTACACCGTGGACTTATTTAAATAAGAAGAAATCAGTCGAGGAGTGGGGGGGGGGGTGGCACCATGAGGTTACCGCACCGGTTGACACCAATCCTAGCTCCCCCACTGGCCCCATTACAATCGGTTTAAAAATGCCATAATCCTAGATCCATCAATTGACATAAAACCTATGCCTATAGCGCTGTCTAAATCTATTGCTAATTATATTACTTTTATGTAATGGGGCCCCAGGCCCCAGAGGAGTGGATTTTATGATTTCAGCATCCTTCGTTATTTGAATATGGATAATCAAGTGCATGTGTACTAAGGTTTATCAAGAGCCATCCATTCATGTAGGAGTAAGTGTTGGTCATTTTATTTATAAATCACATATAAGGAGAAAAAAAAAGAATGTTATGGTCCAAACTCACTGTAATAACCTATTCAAAGCACATATTCAACGTTTGGAAGAGCTGACATCATGAGTTTACAGCACTGGGTGACGCCATGACTTTACCGCACTGGGTGACACAAACCTTGGTAACGCCCCTGCCCACGTTCTTGCCTTAGCACTCTGTCTATTCCATTTTTTTCTTTAAAACTATCAAAGTGGCTATTCGCACCCGGGTACCAGAAGTGAGAGGTTGAGATTTACAAACTATTTAAAATATTATTGTTGGGTTTGTAAGACAAAATGAGGTATCAAATGAAAAATAATTGAATGGACTAATGTTTGTAAACTTACTTCTTCACTTTAACTAAAATAAACTACCACAAATTACGAGTGGGTAACTAGGCCAATCCTGGAATGACAATCTCGACTGCATTTTTTGCTGGAGAATATTGATTCCTGGTAATATTTGGCCTTCCGTATTGTTCTTTTTGTTACCACACTGGGCTCTGGGTGACACAAACCTTGCTAATAATAATAAATAACTCATAACTAAGTTTTTTTAAAATAATTTTGACCAAAATATAATGAATAAGAGATCGAAGTTAAATAAAACGCCTGGTTTCTAACTGTAAAATTGGGATTCTGTCATCACCGACAAATGCAAAAGCATTTATTTCTTCATAAATAAAGCAAAATGACCAACTATTAGAAAAAAGTAAGTAGGCACACGTATTGATAGCATTTTAGCTCAATATATAGTTATATTTTATGGAACTAGAACATTTCAAATGGAGCTTCCTACGTTACAATATGGCGTCATGAATTCAACTGCCTCGTTATGTGACAATAATTTCGCAAAGTTCACCGAAAAACTGCCAGAAATATGGATGATATAAAGCCTTACAGTTATTTAGATCAACTCACATTTAATATTATCAGTTATCTTGGTAAAAATATGTGTACAAAATATTCAATATACTTCAAAACAATGACTCGAGGAAAATGATTTATTTTTTATAATTATTAATCAATGGGAGTCTGCTTAGTCGATTGTTTTATCACGTGATGAGAGTAAATACGAGTAAGACTTCCGGGAGCCTGTATGCAACACACTAGTGCTTGACAACAGTAGCCCGTTACACACTACAACTAGTAATTCAAGATGCCTAGGCCTAGGCAATGTTCGGCTTTTAGCTGTTCAAACAGTAAAGTTAAGGACAGCGGTATAAGTCTGCATAAATTTCCCCTTAAGGATAAAGAAAATGTAAGACAATGGCTTGACAAAGTGGATCTTCGTTAATTATTCACATGAAATCTTGTTCCAACCATTATTAAAATATGCCTTCAGTTATTAAAATATGCCTTCAGCACAAACATTGATTTGTATAAATACGCAAATGACGTTATGGGTATGCCGACATTTCGTTCAATGAAAATTAACAATAAAATAAACATAGGGGAATGACTCCTGCACAAATATTGAATAAACACGCAAATGGGCACGGGGCTCAACAACAGCCTGCCGATGATAGTTCCCTTCGAATATCGCTCACAAATTTTTCTTGAAATAACTTTCTTCCTTTAATCATAACTGACGTATATTTATTGTCACATTTATGTATTTCATTTAAAAAACACGTGCATTACAGAATATTTTGAAAGTTAAAATTTTTAAGTAACATGACATTGGAGAGGCACTGATGAAGTATCTTTTGTTGTGTGTAGCAGCCTAATGATGGCTTACTCTCATCACATGACCAAACAAGGAAGTGACTAAGCGACTCCCATTAAATTAAGGCAGGCAAATGGGCATGGCATAATAGTAACAGTCAGCCTTCAATAGGCTATTAATATTATTGCGTAGGCCTAGGTAGTTTTTTAATATTTATATTTTATTTATAAATAGGGCTCGGGCCTATACTATATCCCATATTTCTAATTCAAATTAATTGTATTTCTGTAACAGTAGTAAGTAGTAGTAGTAGTAACTGTACACTACACTGTACTGTACTGTAGGCTGTAGACAGTTCAGTAGTTGTAAACTGTAACTGTAGGCTATCCACGTTTTAATTTTATTCATGTTGAAGATTATTTACAGAATTGTGTTGTCATTAATTAAAGCTACACCAAAACATCTACAAATTACCCTTCACCATGCCCTAATTAAAAAGGATAATGAAAATTAATATTATTATATAAGTTTCACTTTTAGTGTGAGATTTCACTTGACTTCAGGTTGGCTACCAATTTTTAAGTAAACTTTCACATGCCATGTCATTTTCATCAAGAATCTCTTCATTTGCCCTACAATGCTTTTGCCACCATCTCCTCTCTATAGGCCTATGTCCTCAGACTTTGTAATTACATTATTAGGCTTCTAACTCCTCCTTTCCTCACGCCACGTGATGCTTGGGAATTTGAAAACAAATATTAAAATAATCAAAATATCATGTAACTTGGTGAGGAACTAGTTTGGATAGCAGAACCAAATAAACACTTTGCTGTTGCCAAAAACACTTAAAAAGGCATAGTAAAGTATAAAAATATTATAATCATATAGTCATAGTTAAATATTAGAAGCATAAGCAGAAGTATTTATAATTTTATAAAAATATGTATTTAATATTTGAGATCAAGGGACTTTAATTCTGATTTCTGTATTCACAGTTAATTCTAAACCAATTATTTTTATTTAATTTGTTACTAGAAAAGAAGCCTGGTATATGTCAAGTTAAAAATGAGGTCAAAGCACCAGCAGAACGTCCAGCTGTTCATTTATGGGAACAAGTATGAATTTTTAAATAAAATCATTCTAAAATAATAGATGGTATCATCATTTATTATATCATATATAATTATTAATCATAAATATGCTTTGAATTATGTTGACTTGTTTATTTAATTTAATACCCAAATGTTATAAATTATTTATAATTTTATTAAATACTTTTCAGAAGCAATCACTTTTACTTCCAGATGATTTGAAGAATTTCTATCTTACCAGCAATGGGTTTCATCTTTCATGGTCTGTTAAAATGGACAGTAAGTGAAATAATTCTAAATTGTCAACAAAAAAAGTATTTTTTTAAATAAGGTTATTGTTATGTATTGTTATTTGGTCATGCACATTTAATGTTTTAAGATTTGACTTGTTAGATGAACAATATGTAACAAAGCACTTAAAACCAGTATACAAAGATAAACTATACCAAAGCTAGTGATATTAACAATATTCAATTTCATTATACTATTAAGTTAATTTTAAAAAAATCAAATACAAATATACAGAAAGAATATATATTAACTTACAACACATCAAGTGAAAAAGTATAATCCTCGAAAAATACAAATATTAATTAAAACACACACTAAGAATAAAATCTTGTGAGGCTCCTATGAGTTTATTAAGTCTTGTAATATGTCTCTTTTATGGGAAACTTATCAAATCTCTGTGCTGGGAAAGCTGCTGGCTTATTTATAGGGAGTTACAACCCTAAAGAAAATAAATTATAGAAATTACATCACCCAATTACATTCTATAGAACAAATTAGAACATAAACAACCTTTTAACAATTAAGGGAGGGGTAAGTTATGATAGAGTTCTACAAATTTAATTGGTGACCTTAATATCAAAACAAGGTGGAAGGGGGGGGGGGGTAGAGGAGGAGGTCAACACACAGGCTATAACACTTGTGTTAAATTGTATTTTTGTCATAAGAACAAATTTCGATGGATTCAGAAAAAAAATTTATGACAGCTTAGCAGTAATGCTATTAAAAATATTCTTAACCTCATTATATCCCTCTGCCAGGACTTATCGCTATCAAAAAAAGCTTTAATTTATTTTTATTAGCTATTTGAAATTAATCAAATGCCACTTAAATGGAAAATATTTTAAAATAATTTAAGACATTTGATTTACTTTCTTTTTTCAGACTTGACAATCCCTGTAGGAAATATGAACATAAATCCTTTGAGTCAGCTCACACCCCTTGATGCAGCATCAGATGAAGGAGCCCATCTTACGCCTTCACTTTGGGATCTCAACATGGAGAAAGAGGTTAAGGGTAAAAACAGGTCATAGAAATTAAAGTAAGATGTAGCTAATCCTGATGTAAGAAACCTGGAGGGTCGAAAATCCGGATGGTCTAATGATACAAAAAAATTCTCCTGAGCAAGAATCTTAATTTGATATAAAATAAATGCATTCACATCTTTAAACGTAACTAAAGCCATTAAAAATGCCTAGGTAGAAACTTTTAAAAATCATTTATATTAAATTCGATTTTGTTTCTGTGTTTAAAGCAAAATCTTCGAGGACTAATTGACCCACTTCCTGCCATCCTATCAAAATGAAACTTGGCACATAGTCTCTTTGCTGATTTTCAGCCCCACCCTCCACCACGAAATATCAGTTTTTCCTGTTCTTCAAGGGGAAGACAAATGAAATATTATTTATTCAATGGTTGCATGTTTTCTTGTGGAGATTAATTATGTAGTTTTTGCTATGTGCTTTGTATTTGTAATATATTTGGGTATGCCCCCAAAAAAATCTAGTTTTGAAGGGGACAATGAAGGAAATATGAAACACATTTTCACCAGAAGTTTACCCATTTACATAATTGCTTTTTAATAAATGATTAATCACGTAAAATTATATATATGCACAAAAAAAAATGCTATACTGATATTTTTAATTTATTAAACTTATTATATGAGGTTTGCTATGGGATTTTAAAATCCGGGTTAATTGATAATCAGGATGGGGTTGAACAAAAATTAGTCCGGATTATTAACATCTTACTGTATGTACATAATATGTCTCTTTGTTATGCACCAGGTATTTGAAGAATAATTTTTTCTATTTCTCTAATCAACATGTAAGATGAATTTTACATTTATCATTGTGACTGATTAAATAAATGATAGTTTGTTATCATCATTTGTGACACACGTCAAAAGATGTGTCAAATACCAGAGAATGAGTTCTATAGCTTAAATAAATGCTACATTAGAATTTCTTAACCAACATGTTTTTTTCTCTCTTCATTTGTAACTACAATAATCACTACTTCACTCTTTGTTTATAATGAAATAGCTGGTTTATATTAAAATGTATGTTTGGCATTAATTAAAGGTCAGTGCCAAATTTTTATAAATCATTTTAGAAAGACAGTATTAAGTTTAATTTAATCTTTCTTTCATAGGACGAAAATTACCAAATTTCACTAGTAGCAAAATATTTCAGTTAGACGGTTGCCAAGGCTATGGGAAAGTTTGCTTAGTCTACAATGAATCTCAAAATGGTATGCAAAATGCAAATCTTTACAATCACTTTCATTTTCAATTTTTTTTTTTTTTTTTATGTTTGGAGTATACAGAAAAAACATTATTTTGAGCTAGTAATAATTTGTGTTCAAATTTTTTACTTATAAAAAGGAAATATTAAGTTACGTATTTTATATACACAGGCCAGTAAAGTTAAGTCATCAATAAACTGTATTGTAATTGAGGAATTGTAATCCCTTATAATATTAGTAAATGTTACACACTAAGACAATAAAAAATATGTCATGTTGATAATCAGGTGAGAGTCAGCATGAAAATGATGATGAAGTTGAAAGTGGTGTTATGATGTCCACCAGTGGTATGAAATGTTTAGTCAAACTTTTTTAACAATCTCAATTTTGAACTAAAAATAGCCTACACTCAAAAGGATTTCTTCTTTTCTTTTTTTAGTGTCAAGTTTATCTGAAGATATTCTAACCCTAATTAGTGTAGATAGATTTTTTTAGTTAGAATGGAACCAGAAGCAACTTTTATGTCATGCCATATAATTTTTTTAAACTTAATACCCACATATTTATTTTCTAATACATTTGACTGTACAGTTATCAATATTGCCCTTCTAGTAGCCAGGTCAAATTTTCTTCTTGGCATTTGTATTCCCTTTCTTCCATCACTCTGATAATTTAGTTGTTTGAAGTTTTATAAAATAAATAAATAAAAGATTTGTTTCATTTCATTTTTAAATACTTTCCTCATTCCCTCTGTTTTAATATATACCATTAAATTTTTCTCCAAACCAGGCACCATGAGTGGAGCACTCATTTTTAGATTATATCCAGATTATTAGTAACACAAGGAGTTCTGCCTGTATACATTCATATATAACATTTTGACACTATTTTTTTAACAACATAGAATTAACTGGTAGAATTTTTTTTCTTACTCAGCTTAATAGCATAATGTTAGTTGTAATGTTTTTATGACATGTAAATATTTTTAGGTTATAATTTTAATCAAAGAATAAATTTGGGTATTGTAAAATATTTTTGCTGACCGGAGATTGTCATACAGATATTTTTCAGTTCCAGTTTTCATTTGAAATTTTCATGATTCCAGAAATAGCATCACCTGATTTAAATTTTTACATTTGAACTTTGTTCACTATTCATTCATTCAGACTTTGTCACAGAGTTATGGTTCTTGGATCGCTCTTTGAGGTGGCATTACATGTGTCCTTCTTTTCAAGCATACTATCGACTAATGCTCATGCATTTAGGTTTGCCACATTGGCAGTTTGCATTTACAGATATTGGCCTGCCTCCCATTTCTAAGGTAAAAATTCAGCATAGCATCTTTTTGAACATTTTCATTAAAAGTGGGGATTTAATTTGTATCAAGTTGTTGGTTCATTACAGCAATATTAACATTTGTTACTGGACTTGAGGGAGACATTTTGACCTAGTCTAAAGAAATGAAGATGGTTAATCAGTATGTTGCTTTTATATATACAGAAGAAATCGCTAATCTCAGTCTGTCATCATTAAAAATAATTTTTTTTAGAAACAAAATGAATAGTGTACATTAACCAGTGATCCAAATGTTAGCTACACGCTGCCCTTAACGTGACCTAAAAATAAAGACGGCCCTTTTGAAATAAACCAAAATATGGAAACCTATCTATTACATAATCCAGTCTCATTATGGTTTTTTCACCTGATAACATCATATAAGCTATTATTTTCTTTTAGCAGTTCTTTTCAACAGCAGTGTTGTTGTTTTTTTTACTTCAGCAATGGTTTAATATGTTTGCACCTATCAGACTGGAGTTAGACATCGAAGGTGCTGTCAATGTTCCGAGTGAGCATAACACAACAGGAAAGGGCATGAGTTCTCCTCTTGACCTCAACAAAGTATTCAAGGGAAAAAATGACAGGAAGTAATAATAACTTTTGCTTTTCTCTCATTTACAGTATTTTAGTATTAATTTGATGTTGAATGTTGCCTTCAGTAGATGCCTTCCATGGTATGAAAACAATTGAAAATTCATGCTTATTTATTTTAGAATTCAACCTGTGTTCATTCTTAAAACTAGCTCCTAATTATTCCAGTTTTAAATCAAATAGCAATAAAAGGTTGGTTGAGTGTCTTATGCATAAACTTTAAAGTTAAAACTTATTACGGTAATAACAGAAAACATTTATTCTTGGTGACGGTCAACTATTTATAGAGTGTGTACTATTGATAAGATTGTCTGCTATTGATGGAGTGTCTGCTATTGATGGAGTGTACTGAATATGATTTAGAATTATTGAATTATTGTCAGCTCATATAGGTCATTGCTATATTTAAAATTTACCGTTTACAACTGACAGCACATGTATTTTCCTCAGGAAATTACCACCTACTCAAGCAGGATCAGGAACAGCGGTGCCTAAGAAAAAGCCACCAGTCACTTCAGCAAGGTAACAATTTTATATCTGCTAACTCAATCCCGCTCAAAAATTTACACAAAAGATTTGATCTTTTTCATTTCTATTTGTAATATTAGCAAAAATTGAGTTTTATTATTGCTTTGGCCATTTTGTAAAAAGTCTCTTGAACTTTATCCATTTTTTAAAATACATTTGCCTTTATTTGATTATAATACATTAATATTATAATTAAGGGATTTTAAAAAAATGAATAATTAACTACTCATAATCAATTTTATGGCTTGGTGCTCATGGAGGGAGTGTCCCTATGGTTGGGTAGCAGTCATAATTCTTTGGGGGTAGCTGGTCCCCACATGGTACTACCCTCTTACCTGTGGCACCAAGACAGGTAAGTTGTCCTGAATTCCCAAGGGAGTGAGCAATAGCCTAATGAACATGAAACTCTGGCAGAAACCTTCAGAAAGCATCAAGTCTGCCATGAGAAAGCATCAAGTCTGGTTTGATAAAAACTTTGATGAAATCAAGTAGTAGCAGGAAAAGAAAAACATCTTCACCTATCTTACCTCAACAACTCGAGTCTATTTGATGGCATAATGTGAGAAAGGTCTACGACATTCTGAAAGAGTGCATGGACTTGCATCCCAAGGAACCTCAAAATGAGCGTCAATGGGAACACTGGTCACCGAGCATTGACTGCTGGGCGGAACACTTTGACAATATCCTGAACCCCCTTATCAATCAATGATGAAGCCATCGATGAGTTACCCCAAGAAATCCATCACTAAGGAGATGGATAATCTCCCTACCTACATCAAGACCTAGAAAGTGATCACTGATACTCTCTTCACCATTTGCATTTACGTCGCACCAGTTGATAGGTCACACCCTTAATTTGAGACGTTACGCTGACCTTTTTTAACTAATATATCGGTATCTAATATTTACCCTAAGCTGGGGTATCGGGCTTTATAAGACCACTAATAATAATAATAAACGGACATGACAAAAATGTTTCTATGACAACTCTAAATACAGAGACATAATAAACTACATGATCTTTAATATAATTTTTTTTTTAACTCATTGCCATCTGATCGAGCGTAAGCAAGGGAGAAAATTATTTTCCTACTTTTCACAAAAAATTACTTCTGCACGCTGAATACTAGTATGGAAAGGGAAATTGATGTCCAATGGATAGATTGCACCCTTGATTTTTGTAGAAATTTTTTGTAGAACAAAGAGCGACCTTTACAAGATTTTATACAGCATCTTGACTCCTGTCATAAAATATCATCAACAACATTGAAATAATTGTCTGCTTGGTCAGAGCAACCATGGAAAGGCTGTTTAATAATGTTTAGCACCTAGACTAAACTAAAAGTTTACAAGGCTCATCACCCTACTCTGCTTGCAAGTGTAGTCTACCAAGGCTATGCAAGAAAGCTGAATCAGTCCATTGACTGACAGAAAAAGGTCTCAAACGCTGAACTCCCCCAGACAGGTCTCCCCAGCGACTTCACTATCTAATATAGTCTCAACTATGTTGGGTGAGACATATGTGCATTTCAGACCTACTGCTGCTAAAGAGAGTATTTTGTGGCAAGTTTCAGCCTGGCACGAGATTCCTGGTAAGATTGAAGAAATAATTCAATATAATCAGTCACCTAAAATCCTCATTCGCATTGTACATCAACACAGGCTCTTGTGAAAAAATGTTGAGGATTGAGCCTCTTGAGGCTCTTCAATGCATGAAAGCTCTGTGCCATAGAAGCCAGAAGATAGCTGCTAAAGAGTTCTAGTGGCAATCCAAGTTGAATTGACCCACACCACCATTTTAGTCTGCCATTCTAAAAAGGCAGAAATTTTTCAGTTTATCCATGTTTGTTTGTAGCTGGCAATTCTAAGAACCCAAAAATATATTAAATCACTGTCAAGGATAGAAATACATAAAAAGCAAATTATGTCTTTTCCTTTCACTATTGTAAATTTAAACTGATTTCTGTTACATTTCTTTATCATCAGATCAGCATCATCTTTGGGAAAGCAAGTGGCTCCCTCTTCATCTCAAATTAATGTAAAGTCAAACAAGTAATGAAAGATTTGATTTATTTTACCATTAACTTCAGACACAGTATTTAGTTTAGAATATTAATCAATTTCTGCGTAACCATTAACTTCAGACACAGTATTTTAGTGCAGAATATGAATCAACTTCTGTGTAACCATTAACTTCAGACACAGTATTTTAGTGTATAATATGAATCAATTTCTGTAAACAATCATTTGTTTGATTTTTAATGTTAGATTTGTTTATGGGACTGTAAAAGACCTCAAGATATTTTGTGTATGTTAAAAACAAGAGACACTAGACATTATTTATTGACACAAAATTTTAGCAATAAAATGTTTATAATTATTCCTTACATCAAAGTTTGCTTAAAATTGTTTGTCATTTGTCAACATGTTAATATTGAGTAGAAATTGAAAATTTGTATCTAGAAAATTTTGCAATTTTTTATGTTGAAGAAGGCTTATTCCAGTAAAATAAAGCATATTATAAACTACCAACAAATTAATGTTAAAGCTGTCCACGAATTCCCATAGTGAGAACGAAAGTTTAAAGAAGAATGAAACCAGGACTCTATGCTAATGTCAGCCATATTTAAACATTTCTAATTCAACAAAAATTATATGGAAAACTAAATGTGGAGCAGGATGTTTTGCTAACATATTTGCCAGGGTTTAACTTATCTGATGATAAAATATACTAATACTGATACACTATGTCTACAACATCAGACTCATGAGCAAACAAAGTATCACTGATATTACTGATAACTCAGATCTACATCCATTTGAAAATCTTAAAACAAGAATCAATATTAAAGAAACAAAAATATTGTGTCAATAATAAACAAACCTCATATTTAGTCAATAATAAACAAAATTTATATTTAATTAATAATAAACATCATATTTAGTCAATAATAAATAAACAACAACTTTGGTCAATAATAAACAAATATTTTTAGTCAATGCTAAATTTGATCAAGACCATAGATTTTTTTTTCTACTAACTTTTTTTCAAGAAAAACATGTTAAAAATACAAAATTACATAACAGTTGACAAATATAAAAATGTGAAATACAAAAATTCTCAGTTTGTTCTTCTTTAAACTTTATGTAACTACAAATTCATTGTCCATTACATGAAAGCTGTCAATCCAATGTACATTATCCATTACATGAAATATGTCCAGCCAATGTACTTTGACCACTCATGAAATCAGTTCAGTCAATGAGCATTGATCACTACTTGAAAGTTGTCCAGCCAATGTACATTTCCACTACATGAAAGCTGCCCAGCCAATGTACATCTGACATAAATTTTTATCATCTGTCGCCTCCTACAATAGACAAATAGAAAGAAGCATTAGGTTTTAGGAATTAAACTGGGATCTAGAAATAAACCACTAGTGATCTAGAAATAAACCACTAATGATCTAGGAATAAACCACTAGGGAACTAGAAATAAACCACTAGTGATCTAGAAATAAACCACTAATGATCTAGGAATAAACCACTAGGGAACTAGAAATAAATCACTAGTGATCTAAAAATAAACCACTAGTGATCTAGGAATAAACCACTAGGGATCTAGGACAGTTTTTTAAAAGTAAGGAAATCAATTAACTGGTAAAAAAAACAATGTCAAAAGAATTAAATTAAGCCAAGGAAGTAAATGCTGTTCAAAGACCTATTGATGAGATGTCAAGTGATATTTTGAAAAGACTATTGAAAGTTTTAACTTGATGCAACAACATCTGACATTGCTGCAGAAACACTTTGACTCATACATTCATTAAGTAACTACAGTTGGATCTGAAACCATTTGGCTTTACAAAACTCTACAAAAGAAATCTCCTTCCAGGTTAAAGAGGAATTTCTAGAATCGAGTACTTAAGGTGCACTCAATTTAAAGTTCACAGAAGTAAGTACTGGAGTCCTTTAAAACTGATTTAAAAACACATCTATTTCGCAAACACCTTCTGGGGTGATTGCTATCTACCATCTTTTTCAGTTAATGTATATTGGCGTGTGTTGCTTATGGTTGAAACGGGATGAAAGACTTTGACTTGGTATGCTCGTATGTAGTTTTATATTGTTGCGTCTGTTTTTTAAATGTGGTAAATTTCAGATTTTTATTTCTCTTTATAATACGGTTGACTTTGTACCGGGCTTCGAGCTTTTGGGGATGAAGCGTGCTTTTCAAATAAACTTTATTATTATTATGTATTCCGGATATTTGTTGAGGAAGAATATCCAACAATTTTCATCCACTTATAAATATGAACAAAGTGTTTATAGTCTTTGTTTAATAAAAAAAATTAAAGGCTTGAATGAGTGTCAACTTGAAATTGCTCAGATATTGAGCCGAATATAAAACAATTAAGTTCTGCAAAATAGGCTCAATACCCTCATAAGTTATTCTTTAAATAAAAATGTTTCCCATATTTGTGTCCAACTGATATTTGAGCTCAAATTGTGAAAAACTATTTTATGTTCTATCACTTTGTATAAAAGATCTACCAACTTACTCATGTTAATTTTGCATCTATAAGAATTTCAAAAAAAGAAGGAAAAATAAAAAATGTCGGCATATTAATCAAGAGAAAATCGGTTGCGTTTTATTTCTTTTTTCATGTTATAAGTGTGGTGTGCCGCAGAAATCTGGGAAGGGTTTAGGTGTGCTGTGAGTGAATAAATGTTGCGGAGCACTGAGATCTACTGTATAGACAAGAAAGACAACTGCTCTAATTTCAAGTATAGAACAACCTAAATTGTCCACTACTGGTTTTAGGACATCTGTCCTGCTTAGTTGTCAGTTGTAACCAGTAGTTTAGAGTACAAAATTTTAAAAAGTATTTTATTATCAAGATTGATTTTGTCTGATATCCCGATAAATAAAAAACACGACTAAAATAAATGTCATTTCATCAAAAGAAGCATCATATTTTCTTTCAAAAGACGCCTCACAGACAGAAGAGTTCTCCCTGTAACAAAAAAGAATTGTTTATTTTTCGTCACCCAAGGTTTCAACATTGCTACTAACCTGGTTTTAAATTTGAAAAAAAAATATATTTCCTTTAGGACCACCACCTTAAGTTGATAAAAGGGACAAGCCGGAGACTGACCTTTATAAGATAATCAATGTGACCTTCAATTGAGAGTGGCAGACATCTTGGCTTGGCTTTAGTTTTTAAAATTCCACGCATTCTGTCTTCAATATTCTGTACATGACTGACAGCCTGTTGGTATCATAATGAATGACATAATTTATTTCACCTACTTACAGTTCTACAACTTATTTGACCTACTTACGGATCTGTAACTTATGTGACCTACTTATGGTTATATAATTTATTTGACCTACTTACAGTTCAATAACTTATTTTACTTCACTAAGTTTGATAACTTTCAAACTAATACAGCCACTACATTTTCTATCCCACAATGCATGCTGCTAGCATTTCTTCTGTTGTACATTCCATGACTTGGAAATGAATCGTCTGTACCATCAACAATCCAATGCCTGTACCATGGCCTATCCAATGTCTGTACCATCAACTATCCAATGTCCGTACCATCACCTATCCAATGTCCGTACCATCACCTATCCAATGTCCGTACCATCACCTATCCAATGTCCGTACCATCACCTATCCAATGTCCGTACCATCACCTCTCCAATGTCCATACCATCACCTATCCAATGTCCGTACCATCACCTATCCAATGTCCTGACCATCACCTATCCAATTTCCATACCATCACCTATCCAATGTCCTGACCATCACCTATCCAATGTCTGCACCATCACCTATCCAATGTCTGTGCCATCACCTTGCTAATGTCTGTAGCCTCACTTATCCAATGTCCGTACCATCACATATCCAATGTCTGTACCATCACGTTGTTTTTCTGTACATCACCTTTCCAATGTCTGTACCATCACCTATCCAATGTCTGTACCATCACCTATCCAATGTCTGTACCATCACCTATCCAATGTCCGTACCATCACCTATCCAATGAATGTACCATCAACTATCAAATGTCTGTACCATCACCTATCCAATGTCTGTGCCATCACCTTGCTAATGTCTGTAGCCTCACTTATCCAATGTCCGTACCATCACATATCCAATGTCTGTACCATCACCTTGTTTTTCTGTACATCACCTTTCCAATGTCTGTACCATCACCTATCCAATGTCTGTACCATCACCTATCCAATGTCTGTACCATCACCTATCCAATGTCTGTACCTTCACCTATCCAATGTCCATACCATCACCTATCCAATGACTGTACCATCAACTATCAAATGTCTGTACCATCACCTATCCAATGTCTCTACCATCACCTTGCTAATGTCTGTACCATCACATGCTCTACTTTAGATATCCCCACGAAACTCAGGTTCAACATTGCTAGTTAAAATGAAATTCATTTATCTTGACTACCTTACCAGTTCATTATTTATTTCCCCTGAATCTGTGGCAATTGTCCTTTGGGCTTTGGTAGATTTACTCCACTCCACAAGGGGGTCATAGATGAATGGTTTCAGCACACTAAAATGAAATGAAAAGGTCATAGATGAAAGGTTAAAATAAATCAGCACACTGGAAACAAACAAGAAGGTCATGGCGAAAGGTTTCAGTATAAACAAGAAGGTCATGGATGGAAAGTTTTGGTAAAAATGAGAAGGTCATGGATGAAAGGTTTTTAAAAAATTAAATGTTTAAGACATCAGAAATATCCAGAGTTTTCTGTCAGTTTCAAGAAAACTGGTAAATTATACTATACCAAATGAAGTATGCCAGTCCTTAACACCTAACCCTAATACAAGTCAATGTACCTCATGAGTGAGTCCATCTGGTCTCGGATCACTTTGAGGGTCATCTCACTGGTGCGTCTGAACAATCCTTCGTATCCGAGAGGACCCTTAAGAAGTTGGTAAGAAAAAAAACGTGAAAGCTCGCATTGAAGCAATCATAAGGGATCAAACGTGAAAGCTCGCATTGAAGCAATCACGAGGGATCAAACATGAAAGCTCGCATTGAAGCAATCATGAGGGATCAAATGTGAAAGCTCGCATTGAAGCAATCATGAGGGATCAAAAGACAACTAAGCCCTTAAATAATCCAATAAATACGACAGAATGAGAATGAATAGTTACCAAGGCAGCGATCATGTTGTGGGTAAGACGGAATGGAACTCTTTCCGCCCACTCAAACGTTTCCCCCTGTCAACAAACAAAATGTCAGGTGTTAAACACAATTGACATGACTGTGACGTATTGTCATCAATAAGTAAATTCAGTTTTTAGTAAATCATGGAACAAGGAATTTTCATTTCTTGACCTAAAAGAACCTGACACATCATCCACTACTCAAAAATTGAGCTTCCACTGACCCTAACTTCCACTGACCCTAACTTCCACTGACCCTACTAACTTCCACTGACCCTAACTTCCACTGACCCTAACTTCCACTGACCCTAACTTCCACTGACCCTAACTTCCACTGACCCTAACTTCCACTGACCCTAATTTGGGGCAAAAACTCAAGAGTCTGACAGAAAATGTATTTTCAGCTTTGTCAAATTAAATCATTCATCCTGAGTTTGTTTGTTCACATCCAACTTAAGAATTAATGAGTTACGAGACCTTATTAAAGAGACAGTTGAAATCAACGTGCACACAATCTCCAGTCGTTGAGTCAAATAAGATATTTTCACCATGACGATCGCCCAGACCTAGGATATAGCCAACAATACTCATCACAGCTGTCGTCCTCGCATAGGAAACTCTGGCACTGTACCTGGTCAAGCAAGGGAAGGAATCAGTGAGATGACAGAGTTTCATCTATGATGGTGAGGTTATCGTGTTATGATGGTGAGGTTGTAATGTTATGATGGTGAGGTTATCATGTTATGATGGTGAGGTTGTCGTGTTATGATGGTGAGGTTATCATGTTATGATGGTGAGGTTGTCGTGTTATGATGGTGAGGTTGTCGTGTTATCATGGCGAGGTTCTTGTGTTATGATGGTGAGGTTATCCTGTTATGATGGTGAGGTTGTCGTGTTATGATGGTAAGGTTATTGTGTTATGAGGGTGAGGTTATCCTGTTATGATAGTAAATTTAATTCTTACAACTCAAGTTTTCCTGATAATTGATGTGTAAAAACTCCTTTAATATTTTCAAGGATTTGTAAATCATACATAAAGAAAGAATTCGAATTCACTTCCTGTATTTAAAATTAATTAAAATTTTCAAAGATTTATAATGAATTTATAGCATTAAGGATGTTATCATTTTTTTAACATTGCAAAAATACAGAAGGAGCTATAGTTAAACATATGTTAAAAATTGGTCTTTTATATGAAATGGGAATAGACCGGTGCATACGTAACACCATAAATAAGATATCTTAAAGTGCATCTCAACAACTGTTTTCTATTCCTATTTAAAAAAGTTGAATTTCCTATCTGTAAAAGTTGATTTCCCTAGGTGTAAAAGTTGAATTTCCTAGGTGTAAAAGTTGATTTCCCTTGGTGTAAAAGTTGAATTCCCTAGGTGTAAAAGTTGAATTTTCTAGGTGTAAAAGTTGAATTTCCTAGGTGTAAAAGTATTCGAATTGGGTCAATAAAAATAAGCCGGGTTA